ACACGCGGCCCGCGGCCACGCGGACACGCGGGCCAGCGGCCCGCGGCCATGCAGACACGCGGCCCCGCGGCCCCGTGGCCCGCAGCCCGCATTCCCTGCTCCGTTACGGTGTCAGCCCCCCTGTCCAGTCTTACTCAGGTTTATATGCCAAGCGGAAAGGTAAGGGCAACAAGGGCCACGTGGCCCAAGTGCATGACAATGCATTTTTGGAGTGCGGTTTGCACCTGCAGAGGAACAGATCCGAAGGGCCGAAGGGTCCACTGGCGTGGTGGGACCTTTTCCAGGCGTGGCTCGCTACACTCCCCGTGCAGAGTTCAGCGGGCCAACTGTCGACGGTAACCTGTACGGCCGTCAGACGGCCGGGTCTGTCTATCAGCTAGTTCGTAGAGGGCCGCATGCATGAGATCTCCAACAAGGCGTGAAAGACCTGTGCGTGTACTTAAACCGCCGGTACGGGTTCATCCTTTTGCACCACAAACGAGTGGCAGGCCCGAAAGCAGCCGTGCTAAAAGTTCACTGAGGTGGACGTGCCAACAGCGGCGGAGGAGCAAGGCCATGCATGCAGACAATGCTTCGAGACGATGATGATTGCTCCCCAAAACCAAGGGGCCGTTGCTAGCAAGCCGCTCGACCTGACCAGTGTCGAGGAGCTCTTTGCGGGTGACACCGCGATGTTCCACAGCGCGGTGGGTTATATAGTGCTAGCTATTTATCGGCAGACCGAACGGACCTGCAATTCGCCGTCAAAAACCCGGCAAGACGTATGGAGTTTCCTCGTGCATGCGACTGGGTCGCCACAAAGACGCTCGCCTGCTGCCGACCGTTTCTGGACCAAAAGACGCCTCGAGGTGTACTGTGATTCGGATTGGGCAGGATGGTCGGAGACACGCAGATCAACAGAGTGCATTGTCGCAACCGTTGGAGGCGCTGTCATGCAACGCGCCTGCCACATGCAAGCGGGCTTACCGGCCACTCCGTCCAAAGACGCGGAAATCCGAAGAATTTCGCACGCAGCAAGAAGCTGCGTTCCTGTGTGTACTCGTGGAGCGGGAGTTTGCCCTGGGCTGTGGCACAGCACATTTGGGCAGATTCCGCAGCATCGATCGGATTTGCGAACGTTGAACATGATCGGCCTGGTTCAAGGTTCAAGACCTTGGGGGTTGCCGAGTTCTATGTTCAAGCTTCGCACAAAGCTGTTCGAACTTCGAAAAGTAAAGAGTGCCAACTGTGTGACCAAACACCAAAAGTCTGGTCCAGAGGTGCGGGCAGCCCTGCCTTCCATCGGCATGGTCAACGGTGGGTGCCATCAAGCAGGTACCATACGGCCAACATGACCATGCTGGTCACAATCGTGGCGCAACAGATTCAGCCCGCGAATGTTCAACCTGAAGCACCTTGCGTATTCGAAGTCTTCGCGGGCTTCGCAATTTTTGGGCTTCCTAGCCTTTCTGTGGATGTCGTGGACTTGGCCCACCTCAGCCAGGAGAAGGGCTGCTCAGCATACCTTTCGAAAAGTCTGAGGACGACCGAGCTCGTCGTAGAGCACGTGCTGTGAAAACAGCCCTTTTGGAGGAGCCATATCTACGGAAGCGAAAAAAGCGACAAGGTCCATCTTTTTACTAATTGCAATGGACCTTCGTCCGTGCCGAAGCAGATCCTAACAGTGCACAATTGCCAGTGTGTTCGCGACGAGTTCGCCGGCCCCTACCTGTGAAAATCCTGTCAGGTCCATGAGGGCGGTGTTGTTGCATTCTGGCACGACCAGGGCGCACTGGGCATTGCTTGCCCCATGATGGCACAAACATCTAGGCATTCTAACTTCTAATTTCGAAGTGCCTCCATTGCCTAGCCAGCCGGACTTTTCAATCCTGAGCAGCACCCGTGAAAAGACGGACGTCTCCTGCCTGCGTGCATGCTGTGGCGCTGACGAGATACATGAACATGTCTAGAGAACAAACGGGCACCAAAGCACGAAGCCCGGGAGTGCAGAGCGAGAAGACCGCCAGCGGGTTCCTGCGGCGACGGCGCCGAGGATGTTGTAATTGTTTCTGTTGCGCCGGGGTTGAGTGTTGTACAAAAACAGATTCAACTTATTGCATATATGTTCCCCGGACTGACAGCCCATGAATGTTACAGAGGAATGACAGTGTAAGCTTTGTTGAACGGCTCTGACACCAAAGCAGCCCTCAGCGACTTGGTGGCACAATGTAGCAGCCCGGAGGTAATCTCTTTTCATGGCGACAGTAAATGTTGCGGACGGGTTGATTCTCCCGGATCAAAGCCCGCTCGTGCGAGGCTGTGTCGATGGGTAAACCATACTTGAGAGCGGTGTCCCTCACCTTTGCAACAAAGCTTGGAACATCGTGATCGTGTGTGTGTGTGTGTGTGCGTGCACTGCGTGCACTGAGGTAGTGTACTTGGAGACCTTGGACGACTCCGAGGCATCACACGTTCAAACACTGTGTTTGCTGTGCAATTGGAAATGCGTATGCTTTTGGGTTAAGAACCATAATAGGCATTTGTTGCTAGCAACATGAGATCTCTAACTACGTCCCGTGATGCTAAACGAAACACGGGGCACATCGAAGAGGCGCGTCAGCATGAAGCTTTGTGAGCATGTAACGTATGTGGCAGCTCATGGAAAACACCGTGGTTTCATGTCGAGATTGCGCATAGACAACACGTCGAGGATGAAGGGCGACATGCCTCTGGTTATGGCGTGGTTTCCGCACCGCCCCTGCCTGAACCAGCAGTGGACTGCAGACAGCACCGTTGCATGTATGGCTTTTCACATCGTGTTGTCTCCTGTAGAAGACGCAGCTGTTGTTTGATGTCGGGTCGCAGATGGTATCTACAGACTGAACCAACTCAGGAAAATTAGGATAATTAGGCCTAGAAGTACGCACCAACATATTTTCGATCAAGCAAAAGTCCTTCAAGTTGGTGCGAAGGAGTGCCGGTGCGAAGGGGCAATCAAGCAAAGTTTCTGACGTATTCCGCTATATTCTGCGAGTAAGATCTGACGTTCCAAGGCGGTATCCTTGAGCAAACTGTAGACTATGATAAATGCCGATTAACCTGGACATGACGTTCTAAAGTCGGGTAGCCAGCAGGATCAGCAGGATCCCTGTGTCCCATGCTATACTTATTTAATCTATTTAGTTGTTGGCCAACGATGTTCAGTTTTCGGAGGGGTCTGCCTTGTGCATGGAAAGGCCGCAACTTTGCTCAAAGCCTTCTTCCGCTTTGTTGATGGCATAGTACACTGAATCCATCCATCCGCCTTCATGTTTTTGCTTTCAATGGGGACCAAGTCGCCAAGCACGATTCTCTCCTACAACGGGTGCGATTGAAGTGGGGACCGGCAGATCTTCAAGCTGGTGGGTTCGGGGTGGATTTGTTCTTGGCACATGCGCAGCTGTTGTCTAGTTCCACATTGCCCAACGCGTGTCTGTCGTTTGTTTCCGGTGCCTGTGCTATTCGGCTCTACCTCAGATGAGCTGGTATAGCCAACAGGTGCTTTGCTGATATCAGTAATGCGTAGAACGCTTACTACATCCAACGAATTTCGCGAATATCTTGGTCGTCAAAGCCAGAAAAGTTTGCACTCGACTACAAGAGACTCTGAAAGAAGGGTGCCAGCAATGCCGACGCCGGCAGTTTTGACGGCAAAGGACGATGCTGTGCCCGACCGCGTTTGCCAGGCGGGGCATCCACGGACCTGGGACATCCGGAGACTGCGGCTACTATACCTGCACGGCTGGATATGTTAGTTACATACAGACATACAGGCTCCAAGCCATGACATGCTCAGGGCAAGAAGCAGCCTGATTTTGTCAGCGTTTTCCGTTTCGCTGTTCGAGATGGTAAACTTTCAATCATCTGGAGTGCAGCAGACCAGGGATTTGGCTGGAAGAATTTAGATTTTACGCATGTGTAGGTGGTTGAATATGCATGGACCAAAGCCGAACAGTGTCTGGACGCGTTATGATTGAACCGAGCTGTATCCATCTAGTAATGGATGGACTTCAATGACAATCTCCAGAATGATTGCTAAACCACATTCTCGTTTCGGCGACTTCTGCATCAAAAGACACATGGGAATGATGTGAATTTTGAATCTTTCAGACACGAAGCTTCTAGGTTTTGGTAGCATTGTTTTTCACTGTTGGAGGTTCTGCTTTCGGTAACGTTGCCTGTCGAGTTGGTGCAGACATAGTAGGTTCGATGCAGGGCTATAAAAGCCGCCGTAAGTTTGCAAATAATTGTAAAACTTTATCCGCCGCAGACCTGCAGGTCCTGGAGTTGCAGCACCAAGAGCTGATTCTATGTCTTGAATGGAAGGTTTTCGCAGACTCAGTTTCATTTTACAATGACTTGGCATGCTTTCGCAGCCCTGTCCGAGCAGATGCAGACTGAGGTTGTCACGCTTGGACGAGTGGCTGCAAAGAGTCAGCGACACAATCGGCAGGACACTTTTGCAGCTTTCATGCATGCTCATGCTCGGTGCACGTCCTAGAGCTGGGTCAGGCAATCTGTTTGAGTACCTGCGGTGTTGCGAGCTTGGACTGCTCTGATCTCCTCTCTCTTCGGTTCCGTCAGGATGGATGCTGTGCATGTGGCAGCTGCAATTTTTCTGATCAGTCTATCCGTCGGTTTGGATAGAGTTGGGGGGACATGGCGACATGTCGCACGTGAACTGTATTGCTGTCCAGCGTGCTTTATTGTTGGTGGCTTACATGCTCTTTATCATTGGTTCTTGTGTCTCTACGATATTCGACCGGCGGTGTCCAGCCGCTTTCGCGTACACAGGTTGCGCTCTCCGGTGCGGAAGCATTTGATTTTGCAGGAAAGCGCCAGGTTCCGGCGATGCCGCGTTGAACGAAGTGACCGTCTGCACTCAGCAAAAACAATGACAGAGAAAAGCTTCGATGCTGATCCCCAACGAGATACATTTCAGTGTCTGGACGGGTCAGATCACGCGAGGGAAACGGTCTTGAGGCATCGCTCCTGAAAAGCAGCCGGTCTGAATTTGTTCTACTCCGGCCTGTCAATTTCTTGGGATTTTCGCATGCTGTGCAAAACGCTGTTGTCACTTGCCTTGCGCTCACGATGTCTCGCGGCTACAGGCTTGATGGTTTTACATTCGATGTCCACTTGCATGGCTGCGTAAGGCAGGGTAGAGAGCAAACCAGCACCTGATAAGGCTTTGGCAATGCCAGGACGGAGCCGGAGATGACGTTGCAAACGTCCAATAGATCCCAGATTCGTTCCCCTGCCAGTGGTGAGCCGCTCCCGAAGCAGTGACCCAGAGCAACCGGTCCATGAGTGTGTTCTCAGAGGTATGCTCAACGGTCTCATCGGTGTTGTTGTAGTGATCTCTCTGCATTCTGCACGGCTTTCAGGCTTCCCCGGCAGCTATCACGGAGCAAGACCCTTAGAGTCAAGGAGGCAGGGTAAGATCTTCACTCACGAGACATTCGTTCACACCGGTGCCCTCCGTAGGTAGGCGACGGAGAAGAAGGTTTGGGCAGCTATGATTTGGCGCGGCACCAGGGCTCGAAGGTGGATATGTTCAAGAAAATGAAATCCGAGGAGGCAGAAGTCTTTCGAGTCTGTGACAAGATGGATCACATGTTCATTGTTCATGGTTCATCATGTAATACAAGTCTTGCTTAAGACTGGCTTAGAGACATTCTTGTTGCTGTTAGTGCCTCAAGGATTTTGGGTCAGGGCTTTCCAGCCGCCGCTGAGGCACGGGACTTCACAACCCTCGATATGAAAACCCCAGAACCTCACTGTACCAAAGCTGTCTCGACCGAGACAGCAAAGCAATTCTTCGCCCGGCTTTCTCACACCTAGGTAGAATCGAGGTCCCAGAAAAAGGCTTAGGGGCTGGAGGGGGGCGGGGGGTAAGCAATTCCAGTCGGTAATTCCCGCCTGAAGGCCTAAAGGCCCATGGCTGGAAGCAGAAGCGAAGTAGTTGCAGGAATACCTATGCTCAGTGCCATGCGCCATTTTCATGAAGGGTTCAATAAGCTTGGCTAAGTGCATGTTGCATCATGTTATGAAGGCGAGCTTGGCCAAGTCCGAGGAGCAGACCACACAGTGCGGGATGGTGCAGAGCTGGTGTTCAAGGATCGTCAAATCAACAGTATGCGAAATCTTCTTCGCATTGATGATCGTCACCAACTCCGCCTACCTTGGCGTGCAGCTAGAATGGAGCTCGCAGAACAGAGACAGGACCGTGTCAAGGAGTTCAATACCTAAGGAGAGCAGATTTTGTTTAAGATTCCTGAAATGCGTCCCGCGCACGTCAGGACGGCTGAACAGCAAAATGTTTTTCTCGTTATAAACGTGGTCTATGCCGTCATTTTCCTCATTGAGGCACGGTGCTCTCAGAAGTCGCATGCTCAGCTTAGCTTAAGTTGTTGTCCTATGGGCATACTGTCTGGCGTCATCGAAGAAGGTAGTGAGTAGTTGTCGATGGAAGAGGAAATGACGTTTCTTTTTTCGGTGTGCTGTTTTTTGTCTTTCTATTTGTTGCCTTTTTCCTTTATCCTCTGGCTCATCGTTGTTTTTTTCGGGGTTCCAACTTTGCGAATGAAGTGGGGGAGGGTGGGACGGACGAATCTGTTTGCCAGGTTTGCCTGCGCCTATTGGCTAGCGGGCCCAGAATCTATTTCCTGGCTCCTGGCTGGTCCTGGAATTGGCTCGATGTTTTCGTGGTGACTCTCGGATGCAGTCGCGCCATGCTCCCATCTAAGTAAATTGCTTCGATGCGTTGCCAGTCCGACATGAGGCACATTCAGTTTTGGCCGGGTTCATTGTCTTACACCATAAGACACGAATCAACGACATCGACAATTACTTACACTTCAACAACTGCTGGGCACTGAAGGTCACTAATTAAGACTAATTAGTCCGTGCCTGAGTGTCAACGAGACTAAACTACGTGTGTGCATCAAGCTTCCAGCGAGTGCACTAGGTACAGGAATGAGTCTTGCACAGGAGTGATCAGTGAATTATGCACCCATGACTGTCGAAGTCAGAAACCTAGCAGCATAGCAGAGGAAGCAAAAGTTGTGAATGTTGAATATTTGCTTGAACATGCCAGCTAGCTCGCGCTAAACTGTGCGTGAATCCTGGAACGAATTCCACTCCCTCTCCCGAGGACGTCAACCTGGGTTGAGCTTGCCGTTGGCTTCATCTCGGTTGATGGTAACGATGGTGGCTTGTCAAACAGCAACCTTCGATTGCTGCGTGTGATCAAGGCGGGGATCTCACAATGCCACTGTCCGGAGGGTATGAAACTTGCAAGTGCAACTTGGTGGCGTGTTCCTAAAGGTCACAAGACTGGCCCGTGTTCTTCGAGTTCTGCGCGTTGTGCAGTTTGTGCGACCATTGAGGACGCTCATGCATTGCGCCTGGGTGTTTGCATGGTTTAATCGTCATCCATTGTTCATGCAAGGTCATGTGTCAAAAGCTCTATATCGCGGGTCTTGCTCAGGCCTGGTCGACACTACAAAATCCTTCGTTTGGTCACTGATGCTCCTTGGGTTTCGTATAGCCTAGTCGTGTCTTGCATAGTAGGATAGCAGCTGCCCAGTGCAGATGCAAGCCCCAGCTTGTGAGTGGGTCGCGTTGTTGATTGAAGTGATTGCTGATGCAAAAGACAACACTTGCACCGATGTCTGCATTTCCGCCATTTCCGCCCCAAGCGCGCCGCAAAGGCTTTTGGTTCTCATGATGTACGTCTTCGGCCTGCTCTTCACTGATGCCGCCATTGACCACATGCGCATAATCGGAACTACGGATCCAGATATGGACAGGCTGTTTGGAACTGTGCAGCTGGGTCTGATCAGCACTCCTGTTTTTGATTCGCCGTTTACCCGTCTGCGCACGAACTTGAAAGCGTGGTATTTCTCTCTCATGTCAAAGGTGTGCTGCAGAAAGAAATCTTCAAAATCTCTTTTCAGGACTTGTTTTGCAAGCCAAGCAGACTTGCACGATCTGAACACGCTCTTACGAGGCTTTGTCTCTTTCTAACGCGACCACATGCCCAAAAGTCGAGATTGAGCTTGATTATGCTGAGGCAAAGCGAGTACTCTTGAGATGTCTGGAGCGAACAGTTTTTCTGACAGTTGTTTAAGGTCATTTCACGGGCAGATGTTCTATGAAGACAGCGGTCCATTAAGATAGATATTTACTGCAATCGAGTGTGCGTCCCTAGACGGGGCTTGCCAGGCAACATGTCCTGCAGGACGGGTTCTCTTCACGCAGCCATGCCCCGTGTTCGTTGCTCCTGTACAAAAAGTGCACGCCTGTCTGTTTTCGAATCAAATTTTGGATAAAAAATGGAGGGCGTATTTTTTCGATCCTTTTTTTTTTGTTGGTACTTTTTTTTCGCTGGGGTCCCTTTGAAGGCAATGAAGGAAGGAAGAAAGAAGGAAGGAGTGAAGGAAGGAAGGAAGGAAGGAAAGAAGGAAGGAAGGAAGGAAGGAAAAAAGGAAAGAAGGAAGGAAGAAAGGAACGAGGGAAGGAAGGAAGAAAGGAAGGAAGGAAGGAAGGAAGGAAGAAAGAACGAAGGAAGGAAAGAAAGAAGGAAGGAAGAAAGGAAGGAACGAAGGAAGGAAGGGGAGAAGGAAGAAAGGAAGGAACGAAGGAAGGAAGAAGGGAAGGAAGGAAGGAAAGAACGAAAGACGAGATGAAAAATAA